TCATTGATTATAACATAATACAGTTAAAGAAAAGAATACATCATTGATAATGAACCTTGAAGAAAATAACATTAATGGGAGAAGATAAATAAATGAACAATGAACAAAGTGAATGATTATAATAACTTGACGGCATTAATGAGCCTTATATGGAATGAAAAATGAATTAATACAAATGAATTAACCAGAAGAATTTACAATCACTAGTAGTTTTAGCACGAGCTGTTGTTACGTGGTATTTAGCCGTTCATACCAGGCCATATCCTTCAGATTTGACTTCTCGTCTATGATTTTGGCTACCGCATTTGGAGAATTCGAGTTCAGCGGAGCTGCTCTTCCCCTTAATTCTTGGTGACATACCAGCCGTAACAAGTGGGGGCCTGACCGGGATTTTGAACTGTCAATTCGCATTTTGTTAATCACTTTTGTTTGCCATTTGTAACATGTGATTCCCTTGGTATTGCACTTTTATCGTGTTTTTTCTCAGCCGTTGTAACACATGTTCCCGTTGGTTTTGTTGTTTTGTGATCGTGCAATTGACTTCATTACGTCTCGTGTATTTTGGTCATTAAGACACCGAGTCGCTTCTTTCTTGTGCATGCAGAGTGCATTTAAGTGATCTTTGGTTTTGTAAACAATAGTCTTTGTATATATTTGACTTGTTTTTTGCTTGGTGACCATATTAGGCATTTTGCTGTTTCTTGGTTGCCTTTAATCGTACGTTTTAGTGATTTGAAGTACAGGTTTTGCGATTGTTCACATTTCGTATTTTTCTATCTAGCTAGCTAGCTTATTTTCGCCTGTCTATTCTTCTCGGTGATTCATTATGTTCAGCGTTGAAAGTTTTGTTGCAAATCCGTCAGCCGAAGTGCTGGTCGGTTTAACTAAAGCCCAGTGGAGTGAGTTAGCCGCTCATTATTGCATCCCTTTTCGGTCATCCTTACGGAAGGATGAAATTCGTACATTAGTGACCGAGTATTTATTAGAACACAAGGTGTTAAGTGAGGAGGATTTAGAGCCCTTGTGTCCTCGGGATGTCACGATGGCCCGCCAGTATGACCTGGAGAGCCGTAAGATAGATTTGGAAATGTTTAAGGCAGAGAATGAGCGGATGCGTCTCATGCAGAGACCTGATAGGGAACACCATCCTCATTTTCGTATAGAGGATGCAATTAAATTTGTTCCTAAATTCAATGAGACAGAGCCTGAGTACTTTTTCATTCATTTTGAGCGAGTTGCTGCCTTGCTTGGGCCCGAAGATAAGTGGGTATTGCTTGTTCACAGTGCATTTGTTGGCAGAGCTCAAGAGGTTTTCTCAGCTCTGGATTTGGTACAGTCACAATGTTATTATGTAGTAAAACAAGCTGTTTTAAATGTTTATAAAAGGGTACCAGAGGCTTACAGACAAGATTTCCGTTATTATCGTAAAGATAGCAAACAAACCTTTGTTGAATTTATTCGCCAAAAGCAACTTTTGTGTAAGAAATGGGTCGAGAGTGAACTTGATGCACTCGAGTACGATAAATTACTCGAGCTCTTTGTACTAGAGGAAGTTAAGAAAAGTATGCCTGTAAAAGTTCGCTCTCACATTGACGAACGTGGTCTGCGCACATTAGCCGAGGTCGGCAAAGCCGCCGATCATTTCGCTCTCACTAATCCCAACTACTCTTGCAGATCTAATGAGCCTTCATTCCAGTCTATCCAGCATAATGGTAAGAGGATGGAGTATAGTTCCAGGAGGACTGGACTGCCAGATACCCACAGGACTGTTCATACAAAGTCAGAAACAGGTGGTGATGAGAGTAAGAAGGTTGCTTCTCGCGGTGAGAATTTTTCTTTTTGCCGTTATTGCAAGAAATATGGTCATGCCATAAATGACTGTTTTAGATTGACAAATAAGCGTTCTGATAATAACAAACGTATCTTTCATGTCAGTGCTAATAAGACGACAAAGGTTACATCGAAATATCCTTGTGATAAACGTGGCCTTTTCCCCTTTTCCATTACTGAATCTAAAGTTGTGACACCTTCATTTAGACCATTTTGTTCCACAGGATTTCTTAGTGTCGATGAGTCGTGTAAGTCGTCTTCCCCAGTCACTATTCTACGGGACTCGGCTGCAGATATATCATTGGTACTCAAGGAGATGGTTCCTAACCCTGACTGCTATACTGGAGAGATGATTATTATTAATGGACTGGTAGGGTCCAAGAGTATACCCATATGTAAAGTCTACCTTGAATCTAAATTGATAACTGGGTACGTAAATTTAGGTGTTGATAATATACCAAGTGATGGCATTTCGCTCCTTATGGGCAATGATCTAGTTGGTGATAAGGTATGGCCTTGCCCTGTAGTTTCACCTTGCCCGACAGAGGAGAACAACACCGTAGATTTAGAGAGGGAGTATCCCGATCTCTTTCCTGCATGTGCTGTCACCCGCAGTGCAAGTCGTATAATTTCTGCTTCTGATAATTCTAATATAGTAAATTTTAAAGACATGCCAGTTACTAGAGAAAAGCTCATTGAAGAACAATATAAAGATCCTGAGTTGCAAACATTTTATGATAGGCTTACTGATACAAGTAACATAGACAATTTCAGTACCTGCTATTATCTCCAGTCAGGTGTTCTTATGCGTAAATATAAGCCCTATAATATATCTGCAGACGATACCAGTAAGATAGTACATCAGATTGTCATTCCAAAGCCCCTTCGAACTGATGTATTGAATATTGCACATGACATTAGTGTCATTTGGGAGTCAACAAATCTTACCATAAGATTTTAGCTCATTTTTATTGGCCGAAAATGAAACGTGATGTTGGTTACTATTGCCAGTCATGCCATATCTGCCAAGTAAAAGGCAAACCCGGAGATGGTATCAAACCATATCCCTTGCAACCTATCCCTGTGTTAACAGAGCCTTTCAGCAAAATAGTTATTGACTGTGTAGGTCCTCTTCCAAAGACTAAACGGGGTAAAAGTTTCTGTTAACCATAATTGATGTAGCCACCCGATATCCTGAAGCTATTCCTCTTAGACGCATCACTACTAAGAATGTTGTGAAGGCATTGATAATTTTTTTTACACAAGTTGGTCTGCCTACTGTAATACAATCAGATCAAGGGTCAAATTTTACGTCCAGACTGTATGAAAAGGTTATGAAGTCCTTGGGTATACAGCAGTGCAGGTCCACCGTATATCATCCTCAGAGTCAAGGGGTAGTTGAAAGGTTTCACTATACTTTAAAGACTATGATTAAAGCCTTTTGTTTAGAGACTGGTTCTGAGTGGGATGAAGGAATAGATTTGCTGTTATTTTCAGTAAGGGACAGTGTTCAAGAGAGCCTTGGTTATTCTCCATTTCAATTAATTTACGGCCATGAAGTGCGTGGACCACTGAAGGTCTTAAAGGAGTGCTGGTTAATTGAAGAGGAGGACATTCCAGTAGCTGCTTATGTGAATAAATTTAAGCATAGATTACGAACAGCTATCTCAATAGCTCATAATCATTTGGGTAAAGCTCAATCTAAAATGAAAGAACATTTTGATAAAGCAAATAATACTGAAGTTAGAACCTTCAATGAGGGTGATTTAGTTCTGGCTTTGCTGCCTCTTCCTAACCAGCCTCTTCAGTCTCGCTATACGGGTCCATTTCGTATTCTAAAACGAACGAGTGATACAAATTATGTGATTGAAACACCTAAGAGGCGTAAGAAAAACCGTCATGTACATGTAAACCTCCTGAAAAAGTACCATGAACGGGGTGATATAAAGGATGAGGTACGAAATGTTTCAATAGTTTACCTTCAAACATCAGTAATGAAACTTGTGATAATGTAAAGATTGTGGAGCCTAACCTTATAAATTCGACAATTTTAGCTAAACCTGATGATAAACTTAAACACCTTTCTGCTGCCCAAGCAGCAAACATTCGTTCTCTTCTGCAGGAGTATGAGGAACTATTCAGTGATGTACCTCGTCTCTGCCCACTGCTGGAACATGATGTGGAGACTAAGGAAGCTCAGCCAGTACGTCAAGCTCCCTATCGCCTCAATGCAGAGAAGAGGGCTTTCCTGCAGACGGAGGTTCAGCGCCTGAAGGAGCAGGGGTTCATTAGTCCCAGCCTGAGTCCCTGGGCATCACCTATAGTCCTCGTTCCCAAGAGTGGCGGCACTTACCGTCTGTGTGTAGATTATAGGAAGGTGAATGCGGTAACAGTGGCGGACTCGTTCCCCCTCCCGAGGATGGACGACATTATTGATGACCTGGGGAAGGCACGCCACCTGTCGAAGTTGGATCTCCTCCAGGGATATTACCAAGTTCCGTTGACCGAGAGGGCGAGGCCGATTTCTGCGTTTGTCACGCCTGTCGGTCTCTACGAGTTCAAGGTTCTTCCCTTCGGTATGAGGAACGCCCCGGCGACCTTTCAGCGTCTCATGAACTACCTGACTGCGGACTTAGAAGGCGTTCGTTGTTACCTAGACGATCTTGTAATCTGGAGCGAGTCTTGGCAGGAACATCTGGTACGTTTACGTGCACTCTTCTCCGCCTTGTCAGCCGCAAACCTCACGGTAAATTTGCAGAAGAGTGAATTCGGACATGCTCATGTCACCTTCTTGGGTCACGTGATCGGTCAGGGTCAGGTCGCACCTGTAGCAGCGAAGGTGGAAGCGGTCCTCCAGTATCCCACGCCCGTCGACAGGAGAGCCTGATGCGCTTCATGGGAATGGCTGGATATTATAGACGTTTCTGCAAGAACTTTTCCCAGATATCCGCACCTTTAACAGACTTGCTGAGTACTAAACGGACATTCAGGTGGTCAGAGGACTGTCAACAAGCCTTTGACAACTTGAAGCACCTCTTGTGTACCGCTCCCGTCTTGCGAGCTCCTGATATCGGCAAACCATTTGTAATTCATGTTGACGCCAGTGATAGTGGTGTGGGAGCGGTCCTCTTGCAGAACAAAAGTGAAGTGCTCCACCCGGTGTGTTATTTTTCTTATAAGTACAAGTCTTATCAAAAGTCTTACGCCACCGTCGAAAAGGAGGCCTTGGGAATAGTATTAGCAATCGAAAAGTTTAGAGTTTATTTAACAAACTCTGTTCATCCAGTCAAAATTTTCACTGATCATAACCCGTTAACTTTTATAGAAAATGTAAAGTTTAAAAACATGCGAGTGTTGAGGTGGGCTTTAACATTACAGCCATTCAATATAAAGATATTGCATATTAGAGGCACACACAATATCATAGCGGACGCAATTTCAAGATCGCAAGTGTCGTCTGTACACGCTGGCCGCTGACTCTACACTGCGGCGGACAGGAAGGAAAAAGGAACACGCTGCCTTCACCCGTCTAGCCGAACGAGCTGTTGGTAATCCTACATGTCAGTTAGCTAGTTGAACTTTTTCCCGTATGGTAAAAAGTTCTTTTTCTTGCGGGGAGGAATATTACATAATAAAATAAATTAAGAATTGTAAAAGCTACAATTGTCGGCTACTGTAACGAGGCAGTTCCTGCAGCAGCGTTCGCAGCCACCCCTCTCCCCCCATCGTCTTGAGGCCTACCCGTATGTCTTGGGAGGTTTGCCTCGGTCACTCCTCCACCGCCATAGGCCTGGGCAAGACCTCTGTCATTGTTCTGCCATTTTTTTTTTCGGGTTTGTATTCTGTGTTAGGTTTAGGGCGATACATTAAAGTTTATTAATGTATTGCGTAGGCAGGGTTCTTTTGTTTATTTGTCTGTTTTTCGTGTTTTTGTTTTGTTTTGTTTACTTTGGTGACGGAAGAAATAATAAAAATAAGTGGTAAATATCGAGTTTACGTATTATTCCATTTTAACATAAATGATTTTACAATTACTAATTAATGATCATTAATGGTATACAATTCTTGATTAACAGTGAAAGATAATTAACATAATAAATAACGTATAATGAAAGATGAATAATGATTGACCAAGTGACTTTAATGAATTAGTTTGTATATAAATCAGAAAGGAATATAACATATAACATAATACAGTTAAAGAAAAGAATACATCATTGATAATGAACCTTGAAGAAAATAACATTAATGGGAGAAGATAAATAAATGAACAATGAACAAAGTGAATGATTATAATAACTTGACGGCATTAATGAGCCTTAAATGGAATGGAGAACAAAAATTGATACAAATGAATTAACCAGAAGAATATTTACAATCACTTGTAGTACTTTAGCACGAGGTATTGTTACGTGGTATTTAGCCGTTCATACCAGGCCATATCCTTCAGATTTGACTTCGCGTCTATGATTTTGGCTTCCGCATTGGGAGAATTCGAGTTCAGCGGAGCTGCTCTTCCCCTTAATTCTCTTGGTGAATACCAGCCGTAACAATTATATTATATATTATAATATATGTGTGTATGTGTGATTGTGTGTGTGTGTGTGTGTGGTGTGTGTGAGAGGTGTGTGTGTGTGTGGGTGTGTGTGAATGTGGATTTATTAAAATATATTATATATATATATATATATATATATATATATATTGTTTGCTTGTGTTTGTATTATGTGTGTGTGCGTGTGTTTGGTTGGTGTGTTGTGTTAGTGTGTGCGTGCGTTCATGTGTGTTTTCGAGGAGCCACAGCTGACTCCGCACAGTAAAGTGATTCTAATTCATGTAACGACATTCCATCCCATTCCGGATATCCGATGCATCATAAGTCAAGAACTGACGTTATAAAATGTAATTAACGATCTAACATTACACGGTTTTGTACACCATGACACTGACTGACATAATCAAAATCCAGCTTTGCATGTAGTGTCAGTGACGCTCGTGATTGCATTAGCAACGTCAGTATCAATTACTGAAGTTTCTATTATTTTCTGTCACTGAAAAATCCATAGGTAGAGGTACGTATATAATGTATAATATATATATATATATATATATATATATATATAGTATATGCATACTATATATATATATATATATTTTATATATATATATATATATATATATATATATTTATATATATATATTTATATATATATATATGTTATATATATATATATGTATAATATATATATATATATGTGTGTGCTGAGTGGTGGTTGTGTGTGTGTGTGTGTGTGTGTGTGTGTGTGTGTGTTGTCTGTGTGTTTGTGTGTGTGTGTGTGTGTGTGTGTGTGTGTGTGGTGTCTGTTGGTGTGTTGTAGTGTGTGTGTGTGTGTGTGTGTGTGCGTTGTGGTGTGTGGTGTTGTGGTGGTGTTGCGTGTTGTGTGTGGTGTGTGTGTGTGTGTGTGTGTGTGTGTGTGTGTGTGTGTGTGTGTGTTGTTGTGTATTGTGTTGTGTGGGTGCGTGTGTGTGTGTGTGTGTGTGGGGTGTTGTATGTGTGTGTGTGTGTGTGTAGTGGTGTGTGTATGTCGTGTTTGTGTGTGTTGGTTTGTATGTGTCTGTGATGTTTATGTGTATATGGTTTGTTGCATGTGTGTGTGGGGTGGTGTGTGTGTGTGCTGTGTTGTGTGTGTATGTGTGTGTGTGTGTATGTTGTGTGTATATGATATATATATTATAGATATATAATATATATATATATATATATATCATTACTTAATATATAACTATATATATAGATTATATATATAATATATTTATATATAATGTAAAAGAGGCTGTTAAATGGAGCCTTCATTCGTTGCTTTGTTTTTATGGCCGGTGCAATGGAAGGGTTAGACCAAGCTTTCCAAAAACATCTATTTTGATGGTAAATTGTGATACCAAATGAACTTGACATCTGTC